ACCATCTACAACGCGGCGACCTGCCGCCACCCGATTACGGGTACACGATAATTAGGGATAGGCAGCCCGCGTCAACACCCGGCAGAGGCCGCCCCCCACGCGTGCATAAACGCACCATCATTGAACTACATCTAGAAGTGCTCAACGAATGTGAAGCGACCGAATGGGAAAACGTCAAAGACGACTATTGGCAGATTGTCGTGCATGAGTTTGCACATGACTTGGAGCCGCATGCAACCGGGCATAGTAGTTTCCCGGATGCTCCTAGCACAAACCAGGGTCCTCCAGGGATCAATGTTTCCTCCACGGACTTCGACGGAACGGACGCATCTCCAGATGATGACCCCGATCCTTGGAGTTCTATAGAAACTATACAGTTAGAAACAGACCCGTTTCCACCTAACGCAGATAACCCATGGAGTTGTATGGAAACCATACCGTTAGCAACGGACCCTTGTCCACCACATGACCCCGATCCGTGCAGTTGTATGGAAACCATGCAGTTCGACACGGATCCATGTCCACTTAACGAAGATAACCACGATCCTTGGAGTTGTATGGACACTATACAGTTAGCAACGGACAATTGTCCACCACATGACCCCGATCCATGGAGTTGTATGGAAACCATACAGTTCGCAACGGACAATTGTCGACCTAACAAAGAAGACCCCGATCCATGCAAGTGTATGGAAACTATACAGTTAGAAACGGCACCTGGTCCACCTAATGACTGCGATTCATGCAGTTGTATGCACACTATACCGTTAGAAACAGACCCGTTTCCACCTAACGCAGAGGACCCCGATCCATGGAGTTGTATGGAATCCATACAGTTAGCAATGGACCCTTGTCCACCGAATGAAGGTGACCCCGATCCATGGAATTGTATGGAAACTATACAGTTAGAAGAGGAACAGAGTCCTGCCCCTACTGTTCCGGGGGCCGCGAAGTCGTACTGCACCCAATGGATTAACTGGATTGACTGCAACAAAGCTATTCTGCGCGAGTGCACCACGCAGCCGTGGTTTAATGCTCTCAAATCGGCATGGAGACAATACCTGCGTGAGCACATGGTGGCAAACGGAGCATCCGGTGAGCACTGGCAAGCCGCAACCATGGAAAGCAAGAAGCACGCATGGAAAGCATGGGTAGCGCAACAACATCGGCAACTGCGTATGTATACGGAGGAGTGGTTCCAACATTTGTTGCATAATGTAGAGGAGCAGACAGTAACGGCAACAGGCGAAAGCCCTGGAGTGGAAACATTAATGGGAAAAGAAGATGTGCTACGCGTGACACATGCACAACCGTCCCAATCACTGCATCCGCCACCGGACATGCAAAAAACGTTAACCGCTAAAACATGGATACTGATCCTGGCATTCGTCATAGAACAGTGCGAAGTCGAACGCAGTTTGCAGGAGAAGGAGTTATGTGTGGATGACCTATTGGAGCAACTGTGACATTCGGATGACGGGGCAAATGCATGGGCAATAACGCATGCTAACATTAGACCACTTGTACTGCATTATGTGATATACATAATATATTTCGGATTTGCATTATTCTATACCTTCTTTTTTTTTTTTTCTGCTCTCTTCTGCTTACTTCTGTTGCTTTCTTTTGCCTTGTTTTGTTCTTTTTCTGTGTAGTCAACTTCTTTTAACATGACCATGGGCACACGGTGGTACCGGTTACATGCATATAACATGTACATTTAAATGAATAATATGAAGGTGTAGTATTCTCCTTTATGTGAAGTTCATTATTAAAAGCTGAGCAAGTGCATTCTACGGGTATAGTGCAGCACTAATATAGCACGCGACTACGCATTCGAGTATAAGGAGAGATTGCCTCTCCGCGAACACGCGGCCGGGTACACCCATTGTCCGAGGAAGTAGCCGTGTGTAAGAAGGAGGAGGATTGTCTCTCCGAGCAACCGCGTCGACCCACGCGGCCAAGTGCAACACCGAGTCGACGACGTAGCCGAGTGGACGAAGGAGGAGGATTGTCTCTCCGAGGAAACGCAGCCGGGTAAACGCGATTGTCCGAGTGACGCAGTTCGACGAAGGATTGTCCGCGTGTACGAAGGAGGAGGATTGTCCGAGTGTAAGAAGGAGGAGACATTGTCTCTGCGGGCGACTGTGGCCGGGTAATAACGATTCGACGAAGGATTGTCCGAGTGTAAGAAGGAGGATAGATTGTCTGTCCGAGCAAACGCGTCGACCAACGCGGCCGCGTGCACGAAGGAGGCCCATTGTGTCCGCACGCACGCGGCCCAGTGTAACAACGATTCGACGACGTAGCCGGGTAAGGGGGTTAGAGGGCAGGATTGTCCGAGTGTAACAAAGGCGGGAGAGATTGTCTCTCCGAGCAAACGCGTTGACCAACGCGGCCGGGTAAACGCGATTGTCCGCGCGTAACAACGATTCGACGAAGGATTGTCCGAGTGTACGAAGGAGGAGAGATTATCTCTCCGAGCAAACGCGTCGAGCAACGCGGCCGGGTAAAGCAGACTGTCCCAGTGAGGATCAGAGAGGGAGCAGAGAGTACGGGGGGCGCGGAGGCGACGGAACACACATATTGTGTGGGAGCCATAAGGTCCGCAACGACGGCGGCACGACGGCAGAAGAATTGATGTTGTTGTCGCTACTGCGGTTTAGTGTACAAGGGGTTTAGTGTACGCACACAGAGAGACAGTGTGTGTGACAGGCGTTTAGTGCACAACGGGATGTTGTTGTTAACGGGCGTTATTCATGACGCGTTGTGTGTGAACGGTAGTGTAGTAGTACTTTTTTTTTTTCCTTGTTTTTTTTTTTTTTTTTCTATTTTTTATTCCATTTTTCCCTTTTTTCTTATCCTTTGCGTGGGGACCATTGTTCATGTGTGGAAGACAGAGAGTCTTCTCTATATTGTGTAGACGACGTGGTTGTTATGAATTTGTAGGGCTGTGTTGTTTTTGGTTCACTTTTTTCTTCTTGTTTCCCGTGTTTGATTTCTTGTTTTCCTTCTTCCTATTCCACCATTTATGGGGTGTGTGATTAAATTCAGATAGCGCCAGTTCGGCTATGTAGCATGTTTCCGAAGGCACCCTATACTGCAAGACATGTTCCATTGCCTCAGAAACTGCATAATACGTAATAGAATATTGTGTCCATATTATAGTCAAGCCGTGATCTGAGCGATAATGCTTTCATCCGTTGCACTCTATTGCTGCATCCTAGTGACAAGATGTCGTATGCGACGTTAGGGGCTTTATTATTACATTATGTGAACACACGAGGTCTAGTGGATAAACATGAGCAGTATACGGTAATGTACTCACAATACCAGGGGAGGCGTTGTGCACTTATAACAGCCTCTATATATGATTTATGTATCCATGCCTGTATATATAATTGTACGCATCCGATCGTGCACTAATTCTATATTAATAATACAATGCGCACATACCGTACGTGCAGCACGTACAATAGTATGTGTACATATGGATATGGACGAGACAGCTAGTGTGGCCACTTATGCACACACATATATGTACCTTATGCACAATGCAGAAAAGCTTATGGACAGATATAACAGTGCTACTCGAAGAATTTGTGAAATATATGGATGGTGACCACCTAGACAGCTATGCATCTAATTGTAAAAACGCGGGTTACACGCGTGAAGGTGGGGGACAACACTTCTTCAAACATAACGAGGGAGACGAACTTATTTGCACACTCATGACAGGAGCATTATATTTTATGAATGAGAACAGGTGGCGCCTGTGGGGTGGGAATATGGTGGTTAGTAATGATGATGAACTGAAGGAATATGTGCGGTGTGCCATAGTAAATATATTTATGCACATATTGCTGGCATCTCCATGCAGAAGTGAAATGGGTGTATATTATGCATGGGACACTGTGACACAGATGGAGGGGCTTATGGGTGGATTAATTACAGAGGGCAAGTGCAAGCGGGGAGTGTTTCTAAACATAAAAACACAGGAATTCGACATGGAGAAACAGATTACGACCTGGTTAAACAACAACCCGAGCTTGACTGAAAAAATTGAAGGGCCAGCAATAAAAAGCACATGTAACAAAAAATTACCAGAACTTGGGGCGGCCCCAGAGGGTACACATGCCATGGATGACAAAATACAACTGCAGACAACGCAGACGCACGTTATACAGCAATTAACGCCAGAGACCACGGTATTGGTTCGGGAGGTGCCGCCGCAGCTCATGCAACCGGCGCCGGAAAATGGAGTATCCACGCAACCTACAGGAGACGCAACCAGTACAGATATCGACGATGACGTCCATGAGTCCACAGAACCGAACACTATTGCAAGCGGTACACAAGGACCAAACGGAGCGGACGGTAAGGACCGATGAGAGCAAGCACGAATAAGAATACGGCCCAATACGGCTGTACACGAACACCGCTCGATACTGCCGCACACAGACGGCACAGTAGCCGCCACAAACGCAACGGTGCGCAACACGCACGCGGCGCGCCACAGCGCATCCCTTAGGTGCCCCACTTCGGTTGAGCGATGAGCACGGCGGTCACGACGGTAGCGGCGAGGAGATGACGGCAACAACATAAAAGTTGTACGGCTACCATCGCAACCCAGTTCACCGAGTACGCAGTCCATCGAGTCGACACGGCCGGTACCTGATCGAACCGTCCCGGCCCCTTCTTTCTGTACCACTGGTGTCCCTTTTTTTGTTTATCATCTTTTCGTCCATCTTTCTTCCATCCCTCATTGTAGAGAAAAGCAAGGAGAAAAAGGAGAACACGGACGAAGGCACGTCACACGGGAAAACGGCAGATGCAGTAGATGTGAAGACATCGGAGAAGGACAAGACGAGTGGTAAAGGATCCACGGGACTTTCGGGAACACAGGGAGGAAGATCAGGGCCAACAAAGGCAGGTGAAACTAGGAGCCCCAAAGCAGGACGTTCCGATGACGCAGGCAAGGCCGTCACACAACCCGCAGCAGGATCGCCACCACAAGCACCGGCATCCCCAGTATTACCAGCCAGACCACCACCACCTCCTCCACCAAGGACATCACAGGGTGAGGGCACAGGATCAACCGGAGAAAACGGAGCAAAAGGTGATGCAGCACCGGCACCACCAGCGGAGACCACGTCATCAACAGTAGATGACGCATCGGATAAGGGCAAATCATCGACACGCACAACAGCAGAAACAACACCAGGAGGACCCCAACCACCGACAGCGCCCCCGGCGGCACCACCACAGGAAGCAGGGACACCAGCAGCACCAGGGGCAGCCGGGAAATCCAAAGAACCAAAGGCTAAGGATTCGGATGCAACTTCCGCAGGTAAGGCCCCATGTCCACGTAGTAACGGCAAGTCTACAGGTGTCTCCATTAATTGTGGACGTACCACGGATGAAGAACTGGGCGAGACAGAGAAAGTCAAACAACTCCTGCAAGGAGAGCAACAGGAGAAGGTGACCAATAGTCCTAACCCAAATTCAGGCACAGGTGACTCTAGCAGTGTGCACGCAACACATATGCACTAATAAAAGGACTGAAAAAAAAAAAAGAAACAACATTTCCGGCCAGACGGAGAGACAACACGGAGAGAGAACACAGAGAGAAACCAAACGTCGAATGAGCGGGACGCAGAGCGCCAGAGTGATGGGTCGGGCGCGGGGGAGCGTAAGCCGCCGCAGCAGGTAGAGCGACGTAGAGACGTCGACACAGACCGAGACACACACTGTCTGTGTGTTGTGTTGTGTTGTGTGTGTTGTGGGAGACAGAGAGAGAGTCTTTTCCCGGGGTGGCACCCTACCCCCGTGCCATGTCCCTGTCCGTCTCTTGCCCCGTGACAGTGTTGTCACGGATCGGTTGCAACCGCATGGCCAACCAACCATGCATTCATCGTAACAAACTTCAGTGTTGACACTTATGCTTGTTCTTCCCTGAAACATACAGGTAATACTGAATCCACGGATACAGAGAGTAAGAATGGGACAGAAGCCGGATCAGCACAACCACCAGCAGGACCCGCACCGGCAGCAACACCCCCCTCTCCAGAACAGGGAACATCAGGACCATCATCAACACCTGCTCCAGACCAACCTGCGGACCCCGGAGCAGGACCATCATCAGCGACACCAGCAGCGGCCGGTAACACGAGTGACACGAAGCATAGCGGCGGTACGGATGCCGTCGCGGACGGTGGCAATGATGACCCGCCTCCTCTCAATCCACCCAAACCAAAACCGAACCCGAACCCAGATCAATCGGGTAGTAGTGGCAGTTTCAGTGATGCTGATTTGGCGGATGGAGTGTCTGGTGGGCAAGGAAAGGGAGGTGAGGGTGGTGAAAAGGCTGCTGGCGGCACCGGTAGCGGCAGTGCAGCAGGAGGAGGTAGTACTGGTGGTGGAGGAGGCCGTGGAGCAGGTGGTAGCGGCACCGACGTTGTCACCCCTTCCGTTCGGCCTGGTGTTACATGGGAAGATGTCAAGCCGTACACCCCCGCGATCATTCCCGCGGCGGTTGGTATTGGCATCATTGCGTTCTTCCTATGGAAGGTAAGTACATACGACAATGCGGGCATGTCGCATGCGCCGGATGTTTATGCCTCAGAACATCCCAACCGGCTCCAATATATGATCTTTCTAACCACTATACTCCTACACCCGTGTTCATTCCTTTTATGCTACCGTCCTCACCTTCCTCTTTACCCGCTTTTTCTGTTTAGTACTTTGCCTACCTGGCCAAACGACGACGACAGTTTCGAACCGTTCGTGACGTGCCGTCACCGCCACTCGACGAAGACATACTACACCATCTACAACGCGGCGACCTGCCGCCACCCGATTACGGGTACACGATAATTAGGGATAGGCAGCCCGGCAGATTGCCCGCCGCCCGCCGCCGACGCCCGCCACGAGTGAATCGCCGCACGCTCATCGAGCTACATCTAGAAGTGCTCAACGAACGTGAAGCGGCCGCATGGGAAAACGTCAAAGACGACTATTGGACGATTGTAGTGGAGGAGTTTGCACAGGAGTGTGCGCAGGATTTGATGCGGGACGAGGAAACGAATAACAACATCTTGGGTGTTTCTACCTCAGACTATGGTTATCCAGGGACCAATGTTCCATCCACTGACTCGGATGCAACGGATCCATGTCCACCGAATGACCTCGATCCATGGAGTTGTATGGAAACTATACAGTTACATGCACCACACAGTCGTGCCCCTACTGTTCCGGGGGACGCGACGTCGTACTGCACCCACTGGATTAACTGGATTGACCGCAAAAAGCATATTCTGCGGCAGTGCACGACGCAGCCGTGGTTTTTGCAATTAACAGCGGATTGGAAACAATATCTGCGTGAGCACATGGCGGCAAACGCAGCATCCGGTGAGCACAGGACAGCCGCAACGATGGACAGGCACAAATTGGACTTGTGGAAACAATGGGTTTCCCAACAACATAACCACATTGAAACTTATAGTGAAGAAGAGTGGTTCCAGCATTTGTTGCATCATGTGCAGCAGCACAACACAGAAGAGACGGGATCCCAGAGGGAACAAACGTTTCACTTAAACAACATCCCTACAGCACAGGCAGGAGCAACCGACGCAGAAGCACACCACCGGGCCCCTGAAAATATACCGTTTACGACGGTAAAACACCCACAACCGCAGCACGACGACCATCCGGAATTGCGACATACGCAGCACTTCACCGCTCACAAACTGTGCATGCTCATCCTCGCGTCCGTAATCGAAGAATGCGCGGTCCACAGCCGTTTGCAGGCGACGGAGTTATATGTGGATGACCTATTGGAGCAACTGTGACATTCGGATGACGGGGCATATGACTGGGAAATAACGCATGCTAATCGTACACCACTTGTACTGCATTACGTGATATAAATAATACATTTCTTGTTTGCACTATTCTATACCTTCTTTTTTTTTTTTGCTGCTCTGTTCTGCTGACTTCTGTTTACTTTTGCCTTGTTCTTTTTCTGTGTAGTCCACTTCTTGTAACATGACTATACAGATACGGTTGTAGAGGTTAAATGTATATAGAACATGTAGGTTGATATGACTTAGGTCGGAAGTTATTTGTTATGGCGTTGTGAGGGAGTACGTACTGTAGTGTAATTTTTTCCGCCCTTTCTTTGACCGCACCAACACCGCGGCAGCCGCACGCACAAGCCTTGACGCGAGACGCGTTGACGGGAGAGGCGTTGACGGGAGAGGCGTTCACGGGAGAGGCGTTGACCCGACACACGTTGACGGAGAAGGTGTGAACCGGAGACGGGGTGACCCGGAGAGGCGTTGACGGAGAAGGTGTGACCCGGAGACGGGGTGACGGAGAGCCGTTGCTGGAGAAGGCGTTGACGGAGACGGGGTGCCACGAGAGAGGCGTTGAAGGAGAAGCGCTGACCGGAGAAGCGTTGACGGAGACAGCGTTGACGGAGAAGACGTTGTGACGGGAGAGGCGGTGACGCAGAGGCGTTGACGGAGGACGGGGTGTGACGGCGAGGCGTTGACGGAGAATCGTTGACGGAGACGCGTTGACGGAGAGGCGTAGACGGAAGAGGCGTTGACGGAGAAGCGTTGACGGAGAGCAGTTGGCGGAGAGGCGTTGACGGGAGAAGCATTGACGGCGCCGGCGTTGATGGGAGAGGCGTTGACGGAGACGGGTGAGTGTATATATTCATGACGCGCTGTGAGTAGTGTTTTTTCTATTTTTTCCAATCTTTCTTTCACTTTTTCTTTTTTTCAGTTTTCTATATATTTGTTTCTTTTTTTTTTTGCTCTTTATTCTTGTATTTATTTTTTCTCCAGGGCAGTGTAAAATATGTAGAACGGAAAATTCTGGATGTATGGGTTTTATTGAGTGCAATTCCTATGGAGAATTCTTGTGGTAATATTCATATTGACACATAAGTACAATTCATCGGAGCGAATTGTCCTACCGCTATGTTCCTCTTAGAATGTACAGCATGTTATAGTATTCTGCATGGGGTTCGTATCTGCTAGTACGTGAATAGGAAACAATGGCTGCGAAGTTCGTAGAACTCTTACAGCAATATGCAAAAAGGAGGAGTATAGACACAAGTAGAGAGAAAGGCCCTGGGAGTTTTCAGGTAAGATGAGTGTAGTAAGGAATTGAGAACATCATAGAATGTCACTATAGGTACATGAGGAATGATACAGGGACGAAATATATAAATAGATTTTATGCGCATGTATACAGAAGTATTCTTATTTTTCCTATAATACAACAAAAATATATGTACGGGGATGTTTGTTATAAATACATGTCCTATGGAACAGGACGGTGCGCGCCACACAAGGCCATATATATTAAGCACGTTGTGAATTTTTGTTCACTATAGGATTTAATTTGGAAAGATATAGAAATAATTTTCAAGGAATTAATGATATATAAAAGAGGGTCAGAGCCAAGTATAAATACATTGTGTTACCACCGTGGAAAGATCAATGGCAGGCAACTAAAGGGTCATGTACAGAGGGCTTTTTGTGTAGACATAATGAGAGTATTTTTTTTTATGGATGGAATTAAAAGTACGACGGGTGCAGGATCAGTTTTAAACAATGAAGAGGACGAGTTAGTACAATACCTCAGGTGCATTATAGGAAGTGTTTATTTATTAAAATGGTCTAAGGATAAATGTCACATGGAGGGAGTGATTGATTACGTAAGGGATGCAATGAGAGGAATGGTAATGCTATATGCAGCAAGTGGAGGAAGTGATAAGTGTCATTGGATAGATATGGAACACATAGGGGTTGGGGGTAGAATAGTTGCAGCGGAGGTAGAGAAGTGGATGGACCAGAATAAAGGGAGGACCAGAAAAATTGAGAGGGGCATTAAGATATGTTCACAGGAGAAAAATAGGGGAAAGCATACATCCGAGGGAAGGAGTAACACAGGAACAGGTATATCGGTGCTATTAAAGGAGAAGGATGAAGGGCAGATCCGGAAGTTTATTGATGAAGAGAAGCATATGCCAAAGGAAGTTGCACAGGAAATAATAAGAAAAGTAGTAAGCGGACAACTCGATGCCAAGAAATTACAGGAAAAAATAAGCGAAGGAGTACGAGATGGGTGGTCTACTGGAAAAAGTACAGAAGTAAACGGGCAACCCACAAGAGGACCTGATGCCGAGTCCAAAGTTACACAAACCAAAGGGGGCATATCCGGTCCGGTGCACACATCAACAACATCACCACCGACCCGCTCAGGAAATGGTCCTGTGGATGAATCGACTACCGTTAGCAAACCCGCCACTGACAAACCATCAACTCATGAGCCGGCAACAGCGGCAACACCATCAGCACAGGTACCGACAGGTAAGGACCGATGGGAGAAAGCACGAATACGCATACGAGGCCCGCATGACCCGTACGCCTCGATACTGCCGCATATGGATGCCGCCACAACAACAACACGCACACGCGGCGCGAACATCACCACTTTGCTGCCCTACGTGGCTTGAGGGGCGGCCACGACGGCAGCTGCCCCACTTTGCTTGACGTTGAACGGCCAGGACGGCAGCTCGACCTTCGTTGAGCCGAGCGAGCATCGTTCAAGACGGCAGTGGTCGCGGTTGCGGAGCGGCCGGAGATGAGTGGCCACGACGGTAGCGGCCACCAGGCACGGGAGACGCGATGAGGGATGCAGCGGGACGGCGACAAATAAAAGTGTGCTGCTACCATACATCCCACTGGGCCCGGACCGTACCACAGTCCACCGAGTGCGCCCCCCTTTCTTCCTGTCTTTGTCCTCTTCTAACAACGTGCGCTCTCTCTAACACCGTCCCGACCCTACCCTGCCACTACCTGATCGAACCGTCCCGGCCCCCTTCTTTCTGTGCCACTTGTGTCCCTTTTTTTTTTTATCATCTACCATCTGTCTTCTATCCTATAGCATCAGACCAGAGCAACAAGACAGGCCAGGACTCCTCTCCGAAGGCTTCAGGGAAAGAAAAAGCAAGTAACGGACCACAGGGAACAGGCACCACACCATCAGGAACATCAGCAGATACATCAAACCTGGGAAGGGCAGATGTCACACCTGGACGAAAGGACGGGGGTTCCCAACCACAAGCACCTGCATCCCCAGTCTTACCAGCAGCACCACCACCTCCTGCTCCACCACCAGAACCGGCACCAGAAGAAGGGAAAAACGGAGCACAAGGTGATGCAGCACCGGCACCACCAGCAGGAGCAGAACTAGGGCGCAAGGGTGATGCAGGACCAGCTGGTCCACAGGGAGAAACTGGAGCAGAGGGTGAAGCAGGTCCAACCGGACCACAGGCGGATCCCGCATCAGGGGCAGCTGCTGGACAAGCTCCAGATAGTAAAGGTAAGATGAAAGAAGACTGAGGGCGAGGCATATAAGAACGCGAGGGTAAGTGTACAATGATTAAAAAAAACAAGGAGGATTCATAATTATATGCACACCCCTGGGATCAACAGAAACAATACCACCAACACTACCTTCGCCAACGCCAGAACCACGACAACCGGGATCGTCCGCGGTTGAAGACTATAAGAGCATATGTGAACACACGGACTCCGGTCCACAGAGCACTACTGTAATATCCTCCGGTGATTCAAGTGTTAGTATTACGCCTGTTACTTACACTTATGGGGCGGCAGCACCATGTAAATTTCTGCAGGAACTCGCACAACAGGAGGAAAGAGCAAAGTCCACCCCGAAAACTGTGGAGAACACAAAAAATGCTACACGAGACCGTGCTCCCAGCGGGGAAACTAATGTACAAGGTACTCGAGTCTTTCCCATTACTGCGCAGCAGGGTACACATACCCTACGACCCATATTATAATTGTAGCACACACAAAAGCCACACACACTTTCCGGCCACAGCGGGAGAGACAACACGGAGAGAGCGAGAAACCAAACGTCAAATGAGAATGCAGGCGGCAGAGCGATCGGCCAAGCGATGGGTCGGCCGCTGGATGTAGACAGGTAAACGTCGACGTCGACAGACAGACACACACTGTGTGTGTTGTGTGGGAGAGAGAGAGAGTCTTTTCCCGGGGTGGCACCCTGCCCCCCTACCCTTGTCCGTCTCCTACCACCGTCTCCCCAACGCCTGCCGCCGTCCCCGTCGCACCAACGGTGCCAACCATGCAACCGAGCGAGCTCCACCACCGTACAAACTTTCTCTGTCGTCTGTACTTGTTCCCGGTGCCCCCATGTTCAGATAAGAAGACTGACGTGAAGGTTGTAGAAACTCCTGAGGATAAGTCACGGGAAGGAACAAAAGGAGAACCAGCAGCGCCACAAGCAGCTGCTGCACCAGCACAGCCGTCATCGGGAGGTAAGGCAACACCCACGACTGTCACAACTGGGGACAGTGTACACGGAGATCCTCAGAAACCTTCAGCTGGTACTAATCCTGGGGCCACTGTAGGCACAAGCACAGACTCCTCCGGCATATGGACTATAGATCTGGAGGATAAGGAACTGTGGGGAATAGGCTCCGGAAAAACAGTATCCGGGACGTGCAGGACATCCGGAACAGGAACAACACGCCCAGACGGTAAGCCGGATGATAGTGGACGTGGAGGGCGACGTGGTGCATCCGGTTCCTCCCAGGGTCAGCCTCCTAATAAGGCCAAGGATGATTATCCATTTGACTTTGATAATATGTTGAGCACAAAGGCAGGTAGCCCTGTTGGAGGATATGTACCACCTACACTAGATCCAGGAACGCACAATACAACACCTGGTGAAATTCTACATCGACCTGCGTATAGTGGCCCTGTTGCACCCGACCTAACCGGCCCTATCCTTACCGCCACTACTCCCATCCTGTTCTTCCTGTCCGCCGTCACCGTCGCCTTCCTTGGTTATTCCCTTTGGAAGGTCAGTATACATGGCAATCACGGAATCCCGCATGTGCAGGATGTTTATACCGCAGAAACTCACTACGCGCACCAATATATGATCGTTCGCACCAATATGCCCCTACACCTGTATTCATTCCTTTTATCCTACCGTCCTCACGCTCCTCTTTACCCCCCTTTTTTTGTTTAGTACTTTGCGCACCTCGCCAAACGACGACGAACGTTTCGCACCGTTCGTGACGTCCCGTCACCTCCACTCGACGAAGAAATTCTAGACCATCTACAACGCGGCGACCTGCCGCCACCCGATTACGGGTACACGATGGTTATGGATAGGCGGCCTGCGTCAACATCCGACCGACGACGACGACGTAAACCGCGCGTGAATCGCCGCACCATCATCGAACTACATCTAGAAGTGCTCAACGAATGTGAAGCGACCGAATGGGAAAACGTCAAAGACGACTATTGGCAGATTGTCGTGCATGAGTTTGCACAGGAGTTGATGCGGGACGACGACACGAATAACACTATCTTGGATGTTTCTACGTCAGACCAGGATTTACCAGGGACCACTGTTTCCTACACTGACTCCGACGGAACTGATATATGTCCACCACATGACCCCGATCCATGGAGTTGTATGGAAACCATGCAGTTCGACACGGACCCTTGTCCAGATGATGACCCCGATCCATGGAGTTGTATGGAAACCATACAGTTAGACGAGGAACAGCATTCCTATCCCTGTCCCTATTCCCCGGGGACTGAAATTCCAGAATCAGAAAGCACTAAGTGGATCCCTTGGATTGAGCATAATAAGTACCTTTTACGACAGTGTACGGGAGAAACGTGGTTTTTGCAATTAACAGCGGATTGGAAACAATACCTGCGTGAGCACATGGTGGCAAACGGAGCATCCGGTGAGCACAGGAAAGCCGCAACCCTGGAGAGGAAGAACCTGGACTTGTGGAGACAGTGGACAGCGCAACAACATCGGCAAATGAGTATGTATGGCCAGGAGGCGTGGTTTAAGCATTTGTTAGACAATATCGCGGAGGAGACAGTGTCGGACACAGGCGAAGTACCACGAGTAGAAACACACTTAGAAGTGGAAAAAGTAATGGCCGCACAAGATATACTGATCGTGCGAGTTGCACCACGCACGCAACTGCATCAGGCACCGCACATGAAAAAACCGTTAACCGCTAAAATATGGATACTGATCCTGGCATTAGTCATAGAACAGTGCGAAATCGAACGTCGTGCGCAAGAGAAGGAGTTATATGTAGATAATCTATTGGAGAAGCTCTGACATTAGGATGCAGTGAGGGGTATGCAGGATAGGGAGTTATATGTAGATGAACTACTGGACCAGCTCTGACATTCGGATGACGTTGCACATGAATGCGACATAACGCATGCTAACGGCCGACCACTTTTACTTCATTATGTGATATACTTAATATATTTCTGGTTTACATTATTCCATACCGTCTTTTTTTTTTTGCTTCTCATTTGTTTTCTACTGCTTACTTTTGCCTTGTGTTGTTCTTTTTCTGTGTACTCAACTTCTTTTAACAAGACCCTCGGCACAGGGTGGTACCGGTCAAATGCATATAAAATGTAGCTTTACATGAATAATATGACCGGGTAGTATTCTCCTTTATGTGAAGTTCATTATTAAAACATGAGCACGTGCATTCTAATGGTGTAGAGTAGAACAAATATAGCATGCGAATAAGCATTCGAGTATAAGGAGAGATTGTCTGTCCGCGCAAACGCGGCCGCGTAAAGCATTGTAGCCGAGTGTAACACCGGAGCAGAGATTGTGTGTCCGCGCACACGCGGTTTGACGCAGTAGCTGCGTGTAACACGGCGGCGCATTGTCTCTCCGAGCAAACGCGTCGACCAAAGCGGCCTGGTAAACTGGATTCGACGAAGGATTGTCCGAGTGTAAGAAGGAGCAGGATTGTCTCTCCGCGCAAACGCGGCCGCGTAAAGCATTGTCGTCGAGTGCAAGAAGGAGGAGAGATTGTCTCTCCGAGCACACGCGTCGACCACAGCGGCCGGGTAAACCGATTGTCCGAGGACGTAGCCGCGTGCAAGACGGATTCGACGAAGTAGCCGGGTGTAACAAAGATTCGACGAAGTAGCCGAGTGTAACCACGATTCGACGAAGTAGCCGAGGGTAAGAAGGACGAGAGATTGTCTCTCCGCGCAACGCGTCCACCACAGCGGCCGCGTGCACGAAGGAGGATCATTGTGTCCGAGCAAACGTGGCCGAGTAAGGGGTATTCGAGGAAGTGGCCGCGTGTAAGAAGGTACACATTGTCTCTCCGAGCAAACGCGTCGAGCAAACGCGTCGAGCAAACGGGATTGTCCGCGTAATGCGACGGAGTGTAAGACGGATTCGACGAGGTAGCCGAGTGTAAGAAAGGACGGAGAGATTGTCTCCGAGCACGGGGTCCCAAGAAACGGAGTCCAGGGAGCAGACAGAGCGGGGTGGCCGAGAAGGAACACACATATATTTTGTGGGAGGGAAGAACGAGGCAAGGACGGCGGAAGGCAGCAACGGCTGTAGCAACGACGGCAGAAGAAATTGATGTTGTTGTTCGTTTTAGGTGTACGCACACAGAGACAGTGTGCGTGACAGGCGTTTAGTGGAGAAGAAGGCGTGTTATTTTTAAGGGGTGTATTCATGATGAGTTGTGTGTGTAGGCAGTAGTAGTACTTTTCCTATGTTTTCCTTCTGGTCGCATTTATTATTTTTTTTCTCTTTTTTTTTTTTTGGTTGTTACTATTTCTTATTCGTTTTTGCCTTTCCTTTATTCCTTTTTTTTTTTTTTTCTATATATTCTGTTTTTTATTTTCTTGTTTTGTCCTGTTCCCCAATCTTTCATGAAACATAAAGGGCCTCTACAGCGTTTAGTTCACGCATATGTTTTATTAATGTGAACACAGCCACTACTGTGACGAGCCAAGGGCAGTTGTGCACACATGGACGAACCATGAAGCAGTGCAGTATGCGCCATAACAGTTGAATATACACAGTTACAGTAATACAAGCAGAATGGCCGCGAAATTAGGGGAGCTGTTGGTGCATTATACTAAGAAAAGGGAAATAAGGGCAGATGAGCAACAGGGCGATACGGGGCAGGGCAGTTTCAGCGTAAGTTAAGTACACTAAGGGCAGAATAGGAGCGACTTGTAAATTTACACACATTTACGGTAGCGGAATATAGGCGTTGACGTCATCATGCAACAAGCAGAATTATGTATACACCTACGTATTTTTTACGTGTTTGTTGTAGGAAATATTCTGGGGGGACGTTAAAACAGTATATAGAGAGTTATTGAATGGAATGCACGAACACAGGGATGAAATAGACACCTTGTGCTCAACTAGCGTGCTGAATGAGCAGATGTTTACACTGCGCACGGAGGCTTCATCGTTATGCGAGGACATAATGAAGGTTTATTATTTTATGGATGGCATTCCCAAAGCGGCCGACACGCCTGCGGCTGCAACTCAGTCTGAGGACGAAATAAACCCACTCATGAGGTGTATGGTAGGATACGTCACTTTAGCCAAAAAATTTGCACCGCTGTGTGACTTCAACACCTTGGTGCCCTATGCACGCAAGGCCACAGACGGTATGAGGACAGGGTACCAAGTGGACACTAGTAATACTGCATGCAACGGCTTGAATTTCGATACACTAAAAATAGGGTACAAATTGGTAGGAGCAACCATTACGGAATGGATCCAGGAGAACAGCAGTGACTGGGAGGATATAATGGAGGATTATATGAACGACACTTGCGAAGCCAACAGCACAATTGAGGCAGGCACAACTAGCGGGAAGAATACACACGACGAGAAAGACAGCAAGGGTGCACACGGGCCAATTAGTCCGGACGATTTAAAAAGGTTGGCCAATAGTAAAGATCAATTATCCAAGCAAGACGCGACAAAAGTTTTGAACCAGATACAGGGACAGACTGATAGGGATAGTATAATGACCGTGTTGACAGGAGCAATTGCAGCAGTGGAATCGGATAGGAACAAAAAAGTAACGCAAGCAGCAAGCACACGGTCCCCAGGCACACATACAAAATCGTCATCATCCGGAACATCAACAACATCATCGACATCTTCATCGTCATCAAAATCCGGGACGTCGGAGTCGGCGCCCGCCAAATCCGCCACGGCGCCTACTGAGCCTGCTGCAACATCAGGATCGACAGGTAACGACCGATGGGAGAAAGCACGAATACGCATACGAGGCCCGCATGACCCGTACGCCTCGATACTGCCGCATATGGATGCCGCCACAACAACAACACGCACACGCGGCGCGAACATCACCACTTTGCTGCCCTACGTGGCTTGAGGGGCGGCCACGACGGCAGCTGCCCCACTTTGCTTGACGTTGAACGGCCAGGACGGCAGCTCGACCTTCGTTGAGCCGAGCGAGCATCGTTCAAGACGGCAGTGGTCGCGGTTGCGGAGCGGCCGGAGATGAGTGGCCACGACGGTAGCGGCCACCAGGCACGGGAGACGCGATGAGGGATGCAGCGGGACGGCGACAAATAAAAGTGTGCTGCTACCATACATCCCACTGGGCCCGGACCGTACCACAGTCCACCGAGTGCGCCCCCCTTTCTTCCTGTCTTTGTCCTCTTCTAACAACGTGCGCTCTCTCTAACACCGTCCGCTTGCTGCCGCTACCTGACCGCACCGTCCCGGCCCCTTCTTTCTGTCTACCACGTGTGTCCCTTTTTTTTTAATCATCTTTCTCATCCATCATTCTTCCTTTACTTCTTTCTTCATTTGCAGCCGCGGACAAGAAACCTAAGAAAGAGGAAGCACCCCCAGTTAAGGTACCAGAGGTACCACGGGAGGTTATTCCGGAGGAGAAGATACCAGTACCAACACCTCCATCGGACGCACAGGCACCAGCCGTAGGACCCGGAGGAAGGTCTGACACACCACCAGCGGATGCTTCTGTGGGCACACAAAAGGGGAAAGACGAGGAAACAGCAGGTAAGTGCACGAGAGAAACCACGGTATTTACACATAGCAACACAGCATTCGGCCTCAACGGAGCCCGCGCAACCATCACCCTTTCCATTGCATCCAGCTCGGAAAACGCTGATGACTGTGACACGACGCCCCAAGACTCGGGACCAGGTAGTGTCCTGAGTGAATATTGACAACAAACACAAAGAGAAAAAACACGAAACAACAACAAAAGAACAATTTGCGGAGAGCGGACGAGACAACACGGAGAGAAGCAGAGAGAAACCAAACGTCGAATGAGAATGAGCGGCCGAGCGATGGGTCGGTCGCGGGGGAGCGTAAGCCGCCGCGGCAGGTAGAGCGCTGGATCGGCCGCTGGATGTACACGTCGACGTAGACGCAGACAGGCAGACGTAGACGTCGACGTCGACAGGTGCACACACCCACACTGTCTGTGTGTGTTGTGTTGTGTGCGACAGAGAGAGTCTGTTCCCGGGGTGGCACCTTGCCACACTGCCCCTCTACCCCCGTCCCCATCCACGGAGGTCACGCGTGAAACGGCGCAATCAACGATCGGTGCTGAACCGTGTAGCCGACCGACTGTGTGGCCAACCCACAGCACCGAACCGTGTGGCCAACCAAACAACCATAACCATGCATCCACTTCAAAACTTCAGTTTCATCACATCCTTCTTCCTTCACTTTCCCTGTCTCCCTATTCACCACATGTTCAGGCGATCCCGTCGTCGATGGCGGCAACGATGACCCCCCCCCTCTCAATCCACCCAAACCCAAACCGAACCCGAACCCAAATCAATCGGGTGCAAGCGGTAGCGGCCCCGATGGCACCGGTAGCGGACGTGCAGGAGGAGGAGCTAGTAGTGGTGGTGGTGGAGCAGGAGGTAGTCGTGGTGGTGGAGGGGCTGCCCTTACCCCTGTCCCCCCTTCCCTTTCGCCTGGCCTCACATGGGAAGATATTAAGCCGTACACCCCCGCGATCATTCCAGCGGTGGTTGGTATTGGGATCATTGCGTTCTTCCTCTGGAAGGTGAGTTATTACGGCAATCACGGAATGCCGCACGTGCCGGATGTTTATACCTCAGAACATCCCTACCGGCTCCCATATATGATAGTTCTAACACAAATACACTCCTACACCCGTGTTCATTCCTTTTATCCTACCGTCCTCACCCTGCTCTTTACCCCCTTTTTCTGCTTAGTACTTTGCGTACCTCGGAACAAACCGACGACGAACGTATCGCACAGTGCGTGACGTGCCGTCACCGCCACTCGACGAAGAAATTCTAGAGCATCTACAACGCGGCGACCTGCCGCCACCCGATTACGGCTATACGATGGTTATGGATAGGCGGCACGATAGATTCGCCGATCGACGACGACGCCCACCCCGCGTGCATAAACGCACGATTATCGAGCTACACTTAGCAGTGCTACACGAATGTGAAGTGACCGAATGGGACAAGGTCAAAGACGACTATTGGAAGATTGTATTGCAGGAGTTTGCGCAGGATTTGCTGCGGGACGACCACAGGAATAACACTATCTTGGGTGTTTCTACCACAAACCCCGCTTTATCAGGGAGCAATGTTTCAGCCAACGCAGACCGACCGCGTCATTACCACGCCCGTCATCCCACCTGCGACGCCCCCGTTCCAGCCACACACACACCCACCTGTGCTGCTCCTGAGCCCGCAATCACACAAACACCTGGCCAAGGTGACCCAGTCAGGGACATACCCACATGTGCCGCAGTCACAGACACACCCACATGTGCTGATCCTAAGCCCGAAATCACAGACATACCCACATGTAAAGCAGTCACAGACACACCCACATGTGATCATCCTCAGCCCGACATCACACAACCACCAGGCTCCGGTAACGCAGTCACAGACACACACACATGTGATCATCCTCAGCCCGACATCACAGACATACCCACGCACGACACAGTCACG